CATGAAGCATTGCAAAGTTTTAATGCAATGCCACTGAAAAAAAGAATAAAAAAGAAGAATCAAAATTATATATCGTATAATTGCTTTCCTGCTAAGCCACATTCGAGTATTTGATTCTCTTTTTTATGGAATAGGCCTACTGGGGAAACCACATTAAAAAAAAAACGCATCTTACAATAGTATTGGGTCATCTAAAAAGTATCCGCGGTTTTTTGTCACTAGATGGTGTTGATGGTCATATATCTAGTGACAAAAAACCGCGGATACTTTTTAGATGACCCAATAAATGACCCAATACTTACACTAGTACGGATGATGTGGAAAGCTCCAAGCAATTGTCGAAATATACGTTATCATAATTATGTAATGTATTAGAAAACTACGTTAAGATATTGGATAGTATGACTCTCTTTGATATGCGGAATCGCCTTAACGGAAACCTTTTACTTTAAAAATAAATTGATTTTTGTTTTATCTTATTATAGATATTAAATATGTTTTATTTTTTATATGCAAAGGAATCATATAATTTTCTGAAGCTCTTGTTAAATGACTTAGATCATAATAATGTCCAGCGTTAACAATTGTACAATTTGTTTGGGTTTTAATACACAAGCTAACACAATCTTCCATACTATAAATAAGTTACATTGTTGATCACTCTAAAATATTTTTATTCATATATCACTTGATATAAATAATTTTTTTAAAAACTACTTACATGCGAAAATAATTCAGAATATGAATTAGTCTCTGTATCATAGTCACAATGCATAACTGTCACCATATGATCGATTCCATGTAGACAATCATCACCAGTAAAATTAAACAAAATTTTTCTTTGAACATTATCTAATCTTGGAGGAAACCTTCCTGTTTATATAAAAAAATTAATTCCTTTAGAGAATTCCTTTCAGAAATTCCTCCTTATGATAATATACTTTAATATATAAAAATATAATTGAAAATGTACAGCATTACCTGTTCTTATTTCTGTATTGTTTTTTATTAGACATATTACATCATCTTGGTTATTGCATTTTTTAATTAATGGAGAATATAATTACATATGTATCATCTCATAATCATGCTTGATAATATCTTTTTTATCTGATGTCAGTTTTGTTAAATTATATATAAAATTAAACTTAACTTACGTTCAAAATACACAATACTTTGAAGGAATGACTGTTAAAACCTACAATAAAACAATTTCTAATTTTCGTATTATGTTTCAAAATCTGATACAATTAAATTCTATGACAATAACATTTGAAATCTATTACAGAGAATGATGCAAGGATTTTGTCTTACAGTGTTAGTTACTTATCCATCTTGATCGAATAACAATCAGAAAACGTATAATGGAATTATTCGGAATGGATTCCGATCAAAATAATTAAATTGTTTCCTATATTTCTATTGTGTTTTTCAAAGAAACTGTAGGAATACTACACTAAATAATTCCGATCGGAACTCATTCCATAATATGTCCTGGAATATACTAGAGAGACTACCTATCGTTCCATGCTAATGGAATTTCCGTGACCGTAGCGCCTATATCTATATTTCGATCAAACTTTTTTTTCCAATAAATTTTGTAATTACAGTACCTAGAGAAAATTCTGCGACCTGTATAACACTGAAAAAATTAATTTTACTTAGACATTAAGATAAAATTTTTGTAGAATTTTAATTCAAGAGTAGCATAGAGGAAAATTTGCAAAAAACCCCGAGATATTTCGATCAAATACATAATACTTTAATATTTAATTTAAAATATCTGGATGATTCACAAATGTTTTTAACGGTACTTCTTAACTCTTTATACGAAATACAAACGATTCCATATATAAACTTTGATGAATTTAGATCCGGTTAATTATTTCGGTCAAGGTTCAAAAAAATTATTTCGGTACATGGTCTAAAAAAGTATAATTAATTATAATTAATAGAACGCTTCACAAACTTTTTTATTTGCACTTCAAAACTCTTCATACGAAATACAAACGATTTAAAATGATAATTTTTATAATTGGAGGTTTTGTCCGGTCACATACATACGAATGACCTCCTTGAGAGTGCCGTGTACACGCAATCGGAATGACGTATTACACAATTTTCATAAAAAAAGAGGTGGTAATATTAGTAGCAACAAAAACTCTTGAGGCACCATAGTTTTATTTTCTACAGATTGGTAATATTTATAAGTAATAATCCGTTAGGGGGCTTTGCACAATAAAATGAACAGAGAACAGAGAACAGAGAATAAGGGTGAAATTACACAGTGCGGAATAGAACTGCGGAACAGAGAATGCATCATTGAAACAATCACTTAGCGCTATTCCGCATTTGATGTTGCGGAATAGCGAGTGCGATTGTTCTTGTAATAAATCGTCGTATTTTGAGAGGTTAAAATAATTTGATGCTGATTGATAGGAGTACAAATTAGTTCGATCCGTTTTCCAAAAGATGGCTCCGGCTGTTGAGAATGGTTCATAGTGACAGCTGATTTTGGCGTTTTCAGAGAGGTTAGACATTTGCTAATATTGGGTCATCTAAAAAATATCCGCGGTACTTTGTCATTATACAAGTATATATGACCATCAATACACATCTAGTGACAAAAAACCGCGGATACTTTTTAGATGACCCAATAATATTCATTTATATCGCTTTGAGTTTCATAAAAACCTTGATTTTTACTGTGTTTGAAATATCGAATTTCGTGTTAACCAAGCAGCATTTGCGGCAGGTTCTAATTTTCTGCTTTAATTGGAAGAAAAGTGCAACTGAAGCCCATCGAATGCTTATCGAAGTTTATGGTGACACTGCTCCAACTGATAAATCATGTAGGGAATTTCGACGTTTCAAGGATGGAGATTTCAGCGTTGAAGACAAGCCTTGCTCTGGACAGCCAAAAAAATTCGAAGACAAAGAATTAGAGGTATTACTCGAAGAAGATCAGAGTCAAACGCAAGAGGAGCTTGTAGAATCATTGGGAGTAACTCAACAAGCTGTTTCTGTACGATTGAGAGCCAATAAGGGAATAATTTAAAAACAAGGATGCCTTATGAACTGAAACCGAGAGACATTGAAAGGCGATTTTTCAACAGCATTTGCGAACAGCTGATTCAAAGACAAGGTTTTTTTGCATCGGATTATGAGAAGTGGATATTCTACGACAATCCCAAAAAGAAAAAATAGTACGTTAAGCCCGGTCAATCGTTGCCATCGACCTCAACATCAACACCGAACATTCATGGTTCGAAGATCATGCTCTGTATCTGTTGGGACCAAAAGGGTGTTGTTTATTATGAGCTGCTGAAACCTGGCGATTCCATTACGGGCGATCGGTATCGGCTACAATTGATTCGTTTGAGCCGTGCATTGCGAGAAAACCAGCCGGAATACGAGCAAAGACATGATAAAGTTATTTTTCTTCATGACAACGCTCGGCCTCATGTCGCAAAAGTCGTAAAAAAATATTTGAAAACGCTCAAATGAGATGTTTTACCGCACCCGCCGTATTCTCCGGACATTGCTCCTTCTGATTACTGGTTGTTCCGAAGGATTTGGCAAGTTACCGGTTCACTTCTTTCGCAGAAATCGAAAATTGGCTCCAAAATTGGATCGCCTCCAAAGACAAGTCATTTTTTCGAGGTGGAATTCGAAAATTGCCTGAGAGATGGGAAAAAGTAGTAGCCAGCGATGGACAATACTTTAATTAATCTGTCCATTCATTTGTTTTGAAATTTTAAATACAAAAAAATGGACCGAACTAATTTGTACTCCCAATAATAAATATATTAATTATAAATATTATAGATGATTTAAGTTATATAAATTGTAAATGTATTATACATATGTATTATGTATATAAAGGTGTTTGAATTAATTCGTAGCGTTTTTTAATGAAAGAATGTTATTTATTTCACATGAGCATTAAAAAATACATTAATGAAAGTACTTCCCATCACTTGTAAAACGCTACGAATTAATTCCAACACCTAATATATGCAGGGTATCTCTTAAGATAGGTCAGGGCCACATTGAGGGCGGAGAATGGATCAAAGGAAACAAAAAATTTTTATACCATTTTGAGATACTCTCTGTAGTTTTTGAATTAGAAAAGAAAATCGCGCCGCGCGAATTTGTAGGACGGCCCACACTCGAGCGGTAATAGCGGCGGCGCGCAGAGAGGGGGAAAAAGCGCTTCATCGCCGCTTAACCGCATTTCTTTTTCTAATTCGAAAACTATAGCGAATATATCAAAATGGTATATGAATTTTTTGTTCCCTTTGATTCTCCATCCCTAATGTGGCCCCGACCCATCTTAAGAGACACCCTGTATGTATATTAAATAAATAGTATTTAATTTTTTTAAAGATAAAATTGTTAAATTTATGATAAAATTTATTGTAATTATAATAAATTAATTATATTTATAAATTTTATAGTTATATTTAAGAATAATGTAATTATGTTTTATTATAATTTATGTTATTTAATTAGTCTTATATTGATTTTTATATTTATATATAATGATATAGAATGATTTAATATTATTATGAGGATTATTATTCAATAATGTTAATAATATTAAGATTGTGAATTTTAGGTTTAATATTTATGTGTTTAAGTAAATTTATTATAGTAAGTTAAAATTATTAATTTTTATATAACTATTGTGTGTTTCGCTCAAATTTTCTCCGTGTCTAGATCATTCTTGGAATGCCAACGTTTCGTGGGCTTTGCAGTCCATTTCATCAGGGCGAGGAGCAACCTGATATTGAGCTATTCCTCTAAGCCCTTGGTCTAAAAGTAGTGTATTACACTACTTTTACACTCGATCGGCCACGATCAGCGCAAACTAACGGATTACTACCTATAAATGTCACCAATCCGTAGGAAATAAAACTATGATGTTTTAAGAGTTTTTGTTGCTGCCAACATTACCTCCTCTTTTTTGAAAAGAGGTTATAAAAATTGTCGTGTAACCGAACGACGGAACGGTTTCTTACTAGAAAATTTTACTACAATTCCGTTCTGTAAGAAATTTCTCTACCCGTCCGGAACGGAATGGAAACAGACGGAATGTCGTCTCAGTCGCAAGCTAATGTTTAATTTAATCGATATTTCGTTATTTTAATGCGACTAAAGCAATAATATGCATAATTTGTGCAATTATCTTACTTATAACATTACTTTGAATATTCAAAAATACTGAATTATAAGAGTGAGAGTGCCATCCTATTAGGCACAGATCGGAATAACAGATCGGAGGGATTCTAGTGTATTCTTGATCCTGCTGTTTCTCTCGAAACGTTAAATTTTCTCTATTCCGGACGGACAGGCGGGTGTTTCTGTCCGCTCAAATTTTAAAATACCATTGTGTTGGAAGAATATCAGGATTTTGTTTTATTCCGACTTGTGTCAGTTTATGTAATGTGCATGTATTACGTGTGTCACCAGGACTTCGTCACCAGGACGTAATAACAAGTCAAAATTCTAGCGAGATGAATATCAATAATCAAGGAAAAGGACCAGTAATAATAATTTTAAATATACATTATTTATTATATTCATAAATTATTATTATTTATTATTATCCAGAACATATCATGGGATTATATTCGCATATTAATAGAATATATGGAAATTTTGTTTGTTTACCAAAAAACATGAAATTGATTGAATGGTATTATACGTTCGAGGAGACGTTATTAGCGCTACTTCTGTCATTTTCTATCTCTGTTGTTTATTAGACTAAACTAGAATAGGATGACACAAACAGTGTTGATAGTGATCTCCCAGAACGCACCTAAAATCTACTGAAAAAAATCTATGTGAAAAACTATATGGACAAACACTGATGTAGCAATATTTTCTTCATTGGAAGCTTTCCATTTGATGACACAAGTCGACATAAGTGTCGTCCTGTCTTTGTTATTCTCTGAATGTTAAGGATAGAACAACTCTTGTGTCGAAAGCACCCTATATTATTTGAACTACATTATCTGAACATATTATATGGATTTTTTTATGATGTAGTTTTATCACATCATTTTTTCATATGATTTTCATTGTATAATTTTCAATATATATGAATTTTTTCTTTGCAGACATCAAATATTATATAATTCATGTTACATATATTCATATTTACAAGCTATAAAATGCGGTTATTGTAGGTGGATAATGTACGGATCTTGTGCAGAGATTCAAACCCATAACTGCTTCAAAAGTTACAATGAATTTATCCATATTCTTGTTGTCGACGAGAAGGACCGTGCTATAATGAGTAATTTTATTTGCAAGAAAATATTTTCATAATTAGTTTTCAAATATTAAATATATTCAGTAAGTATATTTATTTATATTATATATAAACAGGAGTAAAGTAAGTACGAGAAAGTATGCAGAGGGATGCACCACCATCAGAGAATAGTAATGCATCTACTTCATACTCAGTGGACCTCATGGATGAAATGTTCATTGATGCCGTTGAGCAAAGACCAGGTCTATGGAATCAAAAGTTGCCAGTTCAAAGCGAAGCCCTTTTATACGACAAGAGTTGTGGAATGAAGTTTTTAATAATCTTGGTAATATAAAATCATTTTACTTCATTTTATGTATTCATAATTGTATATTTATGTCCATATTTAGAGCGCGCTTCTAAAGATATAATGTGTGTTTTTGTCATTCTATCTGCATCATTCATTAGACGAAAAACAAAAATATAATGACAAAAACACTCTCTAACATTTTTAGAAGTACATTCTGAATACAAGCCTTACGCCCATATATCATAGTCAGGCCTTTAAAGCTTTCTTAAATTTATCTTCGGATACTCTAAGAATTATTTCATTGGCTACTGAGCACCTAAAGATAAATTTAAGGAAGCCTTAAGTACAAAGTCTGACTATAAATACGGATAATAATCTGCACTCGCAAATGGGCTAATGTACTTTTGTGTAAGCTGAATTCATAATTTGAACTAGGAATTTTTAAGGACGTAGCATGGATGAAATCTCGATGGACGTACCTGAGGGATTGTTACTCAAAAGCTCGCAAAAAAATGAAAGGTTATGTGAACGTACGCAGCGGATCAGATGCGGAAACGGGACATCCACAGAAAAGTACTTTCCGCTTCTATTTAAGAATGCAATTTCTAGATGAGGCTGTACAGGAAATACCATGCGTAATAATTTGTCTAATATAGACTTTAGAATATAAAAAATATGGTATATTTTTCTTATTTGTTTTTATTGTTTAATTTTAGTACAATAAGTTCTCTATCATGAAACATATGTCATGATGAAGCTAGTACATTAAACTCAAATGATTCGGAATTTCAGCAATGTGTCTTCTCCAACAGATTGTAGCGCGCCAGACATTTATGAAACTGTTCGACTCATTGCAGACGATTAACAAAAAAAAAACAAAAAGGTAAATTAATTTTGAATAACCAATAATCGACATATCTCATAAACTTCCATAATTAACTGATATGTTTTCATATTTTTCACGATTTTTAATAAATAGTTATATTTAATAAATAATTATAATTGATTTTCTTCATAGACTGTAATAGTCTGAATTAATCTTTTTAGATTGTGCATTTTCTTATATTTTTTAATATTTTATTATTATATAATAATATATAGCATTTTATAGTATTATATAGTATTTTATAATTTTTTATTATTTTTAAATATATTTTTTATATTTTTAATATTGTATTATTTTTTAGTATTTTATTTATGTTCCTTATAATTGTCTTACGTTTTTTATGGATAATCAGCTTGGTTTAATAATGTAGGAAAATAGTATTAAATGGAATTTTTTGTATTATAGGAAGACAGTATGATCTCGATTTGCAGACTCTGCATGACAACATATGCAGCAGTTGTTTGCCGAAAATACTCCAAAAAAAGATGCAGTGGACAGTTTTCTGGAACAGTTGGGAGATATCCTGTATAGGTTGAGCTATCTTCGAAGAAGGTGAATACAAATAGAGCTGCGTCTCGTTCACACGGCAGAAGACGAAGAATTGGCGGAGAAGGAACTTCAAAGATTATAAATTTTTTGTATTATTATTATTATTATCTTTAATTTTTTACCAATACGTTATACATTATACAATAAAAAATAAAATTTATTCTATTATTTATTTCTATTTCAATAAAACCTGACGAGTAGTTCATATTTGGATTTGATAGAAATAAAAGTTTTGTTGTTACACTACTGTGTATGTCAAGTTCAAAATATTAAGATATGTACGATCTTTATTAATAATTAAAAAAAAAATGGTTTTTTTATTGTCTTATAATGATTGAGAGTTAATCGCAAAATTTCACAGTAAACTACTTATCTAACGCATTGTCATAATTACCAATGAGTTTCTCCATGAGGGACTATTTTTTAAATAACAGATGTGATACATAACATAATATTGTATATAATTATAATATACCACTATTATATAAAAATTTAATATTCATTGTTTAGAGCTTTCCTCCACTGTCAATCAAGTGGGTTTGAAATTTCAAAATACGTAGCAAAGGCATCTCTAATTTGTACAGCCTCAACGTTCCTTCGTACACTGCAATTATGTATATTTTCAATTCCAGTTGACATTACATTTCGGTCATTACCACTTAAAACAAAATACATTCTTTCCGATTCTTCCCAATTGAAGTTCATGTTTTATAAAATTATGTATGGCCGTTGCAGCTTGAACGGCTAATTTGGCCATTAATATGTGAGCAACAATTAGTCGACGAAAAATTCGCCATTCTTGCCGCTAATAACGCACATTCGATTATTCTCCGTGCCACTTAATCTGTAATTAAAAATTATCTTCGTCATAGTTAAGTTCTCACTCTGAGAGTATGACCGCATCATATAAGATGTTAGTGGAAATGCCTCGTCCTCTACTAAGACATACGAAAATTTGAATCCGCTACCATCCAAATGCATGGCCGCAGGCAGTTGAAATAAATTTGTATTTAATAGTCGAGCAAGGTGCTAGCAAATACACCCACATCGCTACGTCTCCCTTCTGCTCCAATGCCCACGAAGCTGAAGCAACAATTTGCATTCACAGCTAGTAGGTTTATACTGTGACTACTTTTATAATTATAGCAGGATGAATCACTATTCGGTGGTGCTTATAATTACTAAGAATTCAATAATGTCAGATTTTTTAAAAAATATATGAAAAATGAAATTATATCAGAGGAAGTGGTTCACTTGCACACTGTAGCAATTGCTCACTATCAGTCACAACGACTTTGGCGGAATTTTTTTTAATTTTTTTTTTTAGCGCTATGATTGGCTCGTGTGCAATTGATACTCATATCAGATATATACCTGAATGATAATGTGCTTTCCATCTATAGAGCCAACACAGTTTGGAGATTGACAGATTTGTTCGAATTCATCAGTAACCTTTTGTCAATTTTCAGGGTTGCAGAAAAACTATATCCTTCAGGACCTCCCACAATGCAGTGTAAGTCTCTCTTACGATTTTAGATGCTGTATTGGATGCAATATGAAATGCATATGAATGAGATGCTAAACTGTCACCGGATGCTCATCAGTGCAAAGTCAACTGCAATCTTGTATGAGATGAAATTGGGATTCGACAAACTTTTTTTTTCTGGTCCAACTAACGTTAGCAGTTCTTCAAATAATTCTGGAGTCATTCTAAAATAATTAAAAAACTTTTCACGATCAAACATTTGCATCTCAAGAACTAAATTGTCACTTATACCTTGTAAATGTCTCATTTCGTGCGTGAACATTGGTCGTATTCAGAATTTCCGTTTCATTCTCATGTTTTTTTTATTTTTGTAATAAAACAATGTACCTTGAGTACAACTTTCGCACTCTCTCGAACATCGGTACAGCACGCCAAGTTAGCAAATTTTTCGCCGTTTGTAATTTTTTTAATATAACTAATAAGATTGTTTTTTCATCCATGTTTCAAGATTTTATATTTTCAGCCACGTTAAAATTTTCTTTATTCTGGTTATGGGCCTCCTCAATGAATACTGTCTCCAAGCCAAAATTCAGACATGGAAGAAAGTCCAAGATGTAGAAATGAAAAGATTGCGTATTGTCAAGATAATAACTTCACTAAAAATACGTAGTTCAAATAACAAATTCGCGTCTAGAGAGCATATGCGTACTTTCCCGTTAAAGTTAACTGTTTTAATATTATAAAGTATTGTTTATGTTTCTTTCACTTTTTTTTTCAACTCAATGCATGTCAGTTCTGTTCTGTAACAGTTTTCTTGACCCGTCCCATTTAGTAAAAACGGAACGGAATCTGGTTACAAAATATATTTCATCATTACAATTCAGTATTTTAGACAATTCACAACAATATTATCGGCAAGATAATTGCACAAATTATATGTGTATTATTATTTCAATTGCCCAAAATAACAAAACATCGATGAATCAAGCATATTTACTTACAATCGACGCGACATTCCGTTCCGTTTTTACTAAACTGAATGGGACGGGTAGAGAACATTTTTACGGAATGGAATGATATATTCAGCTGAGTTGCTTGAATCTAAAAATTGAAATAAATATTCAGAAACTTTTTTTGTAAATCTACAACGATGGATGAAGAAATAGTGTTATTACTAATGTTAAATTTATTGCGAAAAACAAGAAATGTGTCAAGGCGTGCTATTCCGATATTTAAGAGTGTGCGAAAATTTGATTTATTGACTTATAACATTTTATTGCAACAGCATAAATATACAAGAAAATGAAAACTCTGAATACAGTCAATGTTTACACAAAGAATGAGGCGTCTCCAAAGCGCAAATGACAATTTACTCATTGGAATGCGAACGAACGATTGTGAGAAGAATCAAATACTCGAATGTGGCTTTTATATATCTTATTATACGATATATAATAAAATTTTAATTTTTCTTTTTGATTCTTCTTTTTGCGGAATAGGCCTATTGGGGAAATCACATTTAAAAAAAAACGCATCTTACAATAGTACCTCACGGGTGATGAAAGATATTGTCGAAATATACGTTATAATAATTATGTAATGTATTAGAAAACTACGTTAAGATATAAGTATATCATTAAGGAACAATGAATAAATTAACAATAGAAATTTTTATGTTAATAGAAATAAATTATTTAATAAAACATGTTCCAATAATAATTTGGCGGAAGATGCGCTTGCAGTATATTTCTGATATAGGGATGCTCCTGATCCAGAGCGTCACTTGAGTGCTCGGCGGCTCGGCTGTCGAGCCTCGAGCGGTGGTGGGATCGCTCGCTGGAATAAGCCCAAAATGTACAAATCTTTGCGCTGCAGGATTCGAAACGTTCAGGGAGCCCTAAATGAATATAATGCTGTAAGATCCCTTAATAATTTCTCTTTTCCGACGAAGCATACCATTCAGGACATTTGATGGTACCGCTTTCCCTATGCTGAAAAAATAGCGAATGCGCAACATGTACTATGTAACCACAGTGTAGAGGATGGACTAACTGCCAAGATTCGAGTGTCGATGGGTGCGCGCGAATATGTGAGACACACATTCATTGGCGGCAAATTCCAATTCATGGTATACAATATATACAGTAGCACAACTCTCCTGATTTTATATTGGCCAAAATTGAGTGTACATACGTGAAATAAGTAAGTTGCCCCGTCTCATTTCCTTTTTTTATTGTTCTCTCTCTGTCTCTCTCTCTCTCTCTCTCTCATTTAAATGAGCGTTTCAATGTTCCACTTAAACATTTGTCTTTCAAGTATACATGGTTCAGAATAGAAATTTAGAGGGAAGTATTACGTGTATTGTCCATTTGATGAAATGTGTGAGAAACCTCGAGAGATTGGTCTAATTTTTGTAAAAAAGTGATAAAGTGAAAAGTGAACAAAAGTAACATAGAAAACCGAGCAAGAAAGATTCTTTTTATTTATTGTATTTTAAACTTCTTTTTTATATATGTATATAATATCTGTAATATATATGTATACATTTCTTTTATATTAGCTTTCTCATAATATTTTCATAGATATATAATTATATAGATATATAATTATATAATATTTCTTTATATAAATATATATTTTTTAGTTAATTTAATATTTTTCCTAATTTTTCTATTTTTTTTTCTTTATTTTTAAATATATTTACAATTTATTTTTATTAATTTTCATAAAGTTTAAATTATTTCATTGTTGTTGTTGGCGCTTGTCAGTGTTAGTGTAGCTCAGCAGGCTTGATACCAGCCCATTGGCTTTGCGACGTGATAGCAGCGTGATAGCGACATGTCGTGTTGCTGACGGGGCCCACCGAAGGGGAGGGCATGAGCGCGACTATGCTGCCTGCGTGTAACCGCCGCGCTTCTCAGATGGTTTTCTAGTCGATTCCGTGTGCGACCTCCTCGCGATTAACACATGTACGAATGGTGCACAAGATTTTTATTACTTAATTTTATTTTTATAATGTACAACGCGAGTGTAATTCAAATATAATAAAAAGAGGTCTTGTATCAAGGCAGAGTGTATTTCATTTTTATCACACGCTGTCAATACCGACACAGATAAGCCACAAGGCAGGAGACACAGATTTCAAAAAGAAAATAGTGCTCCACATAGCGCAACGGGGGCACCATGGTCCTCTCCCTAACAATTATAATATTAGATTTATTTGCGTCGCATGCTCTAATATGCTCCAATCTATTTTTACAATTACTTACTCATTTCAATGAATTCATTATTGCGATGCGAATAAATCTAGTGAGTTTTGCGAGGAATTTTGACAGAGTGAAAAAAGAATAAAAAGAGAAAGAAATTTAGGTGGTAACTGTGACAACGCTGGGCAACTTACTTATTTCACGCATACGCATTCTATTTTGGCCAATACTAACATCAAAGGTGCCGACAGAGAAACTTTCTTACCTTAAGATGTCCGGTCGAATATTCTATTATTTTGCTAGCATTAGTTGGATTATGTGCGAGAGC